CCTTGTTGAATCCGGGCCTAAAAGTTTTTGGAGTGACGAATAAAAAGTTTCCAAAGCCAATCTTCCAAACAATTCCCCTAAGATATTTAACAATCTATTGATTTGATAAATTGCGTTAATAATCTCATGTCTTGTAATACAATGGTTGGTCTAAATATATTTTTTAATACACTGAATTCTTGTTCTTATTGGGGTTTTTTTTGTAACCATCAAGAGACATATCTGATAAGGGCAAAAAAAAATTCATTTTCACTTTGATTATGAAACAGTAAATTTGAGAGTGATGAAAGGAAAAATGAAAATAGCACTTTGGAACTAGTAATACCATTCCAGTGTAAAGAAATGTATTGTAAGATAATGTCATATTATTGTCTCCCAAGTTACAAAAATCTTGTTTGGGTCCTGGCTATCAGATAGGGATTCTGTGATTCTTGCACTTTCTCATATGTTGGTTGAATTTGTGCTCGTTGGTATCTGTATGTAACATTTCTCCTTTCAAACTGGCTTTACTTTAAGATCCATATTTAAGGCCTCAGATAAAACTTTTCCTAGTTATTCTCTTGTTTTTTCTTGAGAAATACCTTGGACTGTTATGTCAGGGATCCTAGAAGCAGCCTTTCCTGGTCTCCCACAAAGACTGCTGTGAGGGGAAATCCAATCCCTTGTGCTCTGGATCCTCTGGGGTATGTTAAGCTTCTGGAGCCTCAACAGGCTGCAGAACTGGTTCTGCCATTGGCCTCTCTGGCACATTGCCAGGGCATTAACTGTCTACTACCACTTCTTGGAAATGGGGCTCCTCAGCCCACCTGCCATAGGACTGGTACCAGCGCTGACCCCTGAGATACCTCAGTTACTTAAACACACTCCAGAACTCTGTGCCAAAGGTGTGAAGATTCTGGTTTCAGTATAATTCTTTCAGGGGGTGCAGCGGTTGTGAAGCAATCAACACTCATATGCTTTGCACAGACTAACACTTTTATGATCTTATACTTAATCATGTAAAGCGCAGGAGAGTACAGATCATACAGAACTATAAATGCTAATCACGTGTGACATACCAGGGTATAATTCAGACTAATGAGCAGCTGTGTCACCCCAGCCCTGCAACCTTGGGTACCTTACAATGCCTTGCTGAAGTGGTTTCCCCGAGGCTGCTCACAAACAGCCTTCCAGCATGCAAGCCACACCCTGAGTGTCTGTGTGTCGCTGCAGCCTGCCAGCCACACTTGGGTTACACTCTGGCTCTCACCGGCTTTGGTTATACTTCAGGGTGACCCCAACACACTGCCAGTCTGAGATTCTTTCCCAAGAAATGTATGTCCTGTACATCCTAGTCCTCTCCTGCACAATACAAGTTATTATGCCATCTTATTATTACAAATAGTTATTCAGATACTTCAGTTTAAATACATTTGATTAGATAAAGCAAGTGTATTAACTACAAAGAGATTTTAAGTGAGTACAAGTAATGAAGCATAAAAGTCAGAAATGGTTACAAGAAAAATGAAGATACAATGCTACTCGTGTCTTACTTAACAAACTATATTAAATTCAAAGCAAAGGATAGCTCAGTGGTTTGAGCATTGGCCTGCTAAACCCAGGGTTGTGAGTTCAATCCTTGAGGGGGCCACTTAGGGATCTGGGGAAAAAATCAGTACTTGGTCCTGCTAGTGAAGGCAGGGGGCTGGACTCGCTGACCTTTCAAGGTCCCTTCCAGTTCTAGGAGATAGGATATCTCCATTAATTTATTTATTTACTGACCAAACTTAGGTCACAATCCCTCCCCCAGTGCAACAGCTACTTCCTTGGTCCATTAAGTGTAGTGAATTGATGGGTAGAGAGAGAGGGGAGGTCCTTTGAGTGTCTGTCCCTTCTTTTTGTAGTCCTGTCTCCTCTTTGAGAAGCATTTCCAGCTGGGAACAAGGCGACAGGCAGTCTGTGTGGAAGGGAACTCCATGCTGTTTCTTTGCTATGATGTAGATTTTTGCCCCTCTTTCCTGCCAAAGAATAGCCACTTAGCAGGTAATGGTCCATCAGCCTTGTTTACACCTGGTTACAGTGTCAGTTTATGCTTTGTCTCTGTGGGCCTGGTTTGGCCACTCCCCAGACTTTTCTGGAAAACATACTTTTAGTCATGATCTCAGCTTAAGTTTATAATTTCACATTTTCCATGATCATAGTGATCAGCAAATTGAGTTTTTAAACGATACCTTACAAGGCATACTTGTATAAAGATTATTACAGTAGTGTGTAGGATGTGAACACAGGGGTGTATTCTATCAGAGCATGCCCCCGCCTAAGTTTGCCCACCACTCCAAGACATTCTTTGGGCTGCGGTATGAGTCCCGTGGGTTGCCCAGAGTCCATGAAGCCATCTGGTCTCAGGAAAGTGGGCAGAACTCCCCTGCCCCATGACTGCTACATACTGGGAACCTCTCCCTCCTGGAACTCTTTACCCAGCCTCTGTGAGAGAGTTTGTTCTCTCTTGCCCTATGCTTTCTCTTCTTGCCCTGTCAAGGCTGTATCCCCACTTTGAACTTTAGGGTACAAATGTAGGGGCCTGCATGAAAACCTCTAAGCTTAACTACCAGCTTAGCTTTGGTCCCGCTGCCACCATCTCAAGAATCCCCTCCCTGGGAAGCCTTGAGAACCCTTTCACCAATTCTCTGGTGAACACAGATCCAAACCCCCTTGGATCTTAAAACAAGGAGAAATTAACCGTCCCCCCTCCTTCCTCCCACCAACTCCTGGTGAATACAGATCCAAACCCCCTTGGATCTTAACACAAGGAGAAATCAATCTGGTTCTTAAAAAAGAAGGCTTTTAATTAAAGAAAAAGGTAAAAATCATCTCTGTAAAATCAGTATGGAAAATACTTTACAGGGTAATCAAACTTAAAGAGCTCAGAGGACCCCCCTCTGTCTTAGGTTCAAAGTACAACAAAACAAAGATAAACACTCTAGTAAAAGGTACATTTACAAGTTGAGAAAACAAAGTAAATCTAAGACGCCTTGCCTGTCTTTTTACTTACAAGTTTGAAATAGGAGAGACTTGTTTAGAAAGATGGGGAGAACCTGGATTGATGTCTGGTCCCTCTCAGTCCCAAGAGCGAACAACCCCTTAAACAAAGGACACACACAAAAGCCTTTCCCCCCCCAAGATTTGAAAGTATCTTGTCCCCTTATTGGTCCTTGGGGTCAGGTGTCAGCCAGGTTACCCGAGCTTCTTAACCCTTTACAGGTAAAAGGATTTGGAGTCTCTGTACACAGAGAGCTGTTACCCTTCCCTTTATAGTTATGACATGCCCGGCTCCTGTTTTTGTGTTTCTTTATTTAAATCCCTCCTGGTCACATGGCCTCTTCCTTTCTACTCCTAGTAAGTTTCCACTGTTCCTACCTTCCCCGTTACCTTCAGAGGAATCAGCTGCTGAACTGATTTTCTAAAGAGGCAGCTCACCCATTGTCCTGAGATGTTTGCACCCGAATAGGTTCAGTAGGTCCAGAGAAGCATTCTATTGTATTGTCAGGGCTTGTCAGCAATGGTGGATCCACATACATATAGGCACTCCTAATACGGCAGTTTTTCGTAATACACCTTCACAACATCATTCTGAATTTACAAGTTGTACAGACACAGCCCCAATTCATCACAACATACATTTCAGAATCTAACTTAATTCTCAGGAATTTCTGTTTTTCTTTCTGCAGACATTAGATTGGGTCAGGATCCTTTTTGTTAAAGTGTTATCCCCCTCATTGGCTTGTTTTCAGTGATTTCTAATCTCTTTTCAGAAGCGCTGACCTTTGAATCCAGGTGCCCTATCCTGCAAGTTGATGGAAGTTTTCAACTTCCATTCACATTCGCTTGGGTTGAGGGGTGCTTGTCACCTTGCCACACTCCCCTTCCCCCCGAGTTAATTAACTAAATTGACGTTTTCCAGGTTCTTTTCTATTCCTTACATGGCACAGAAGCCTGCAGTTTATTCTATTTAGTTAACAATGTTGCCAAATCACAATATTTGGTGTTTCTCTGAAAGCCACAGTGGTCAGAATCAAGAGATTGCATGAAAACCTCTTACCTTTTTTTTTTTAATTAAAGTTTCCAGCCCTGTTGGTTGCAGAGAAAAGTTTTTTGAAAAGGTGAAGCAAGTGCATCCTAAGAACTCAGAAGCCAGAAAGCATATGCTCTTCCTCCTCATCCCTCAAATTTATTATTTAAAAGAAATCCCATGATTTTTAAGCCAATCTCAGAGTTTTGGAGGGCTTGACTCTCATGATTTTTGAAAGCTTGCAGTTGGAAATACTGTTGGTACTGTCTCATAAAGCAGAGTTAGTGTTGTTTTTCAGGGTTCTGGCCTGCTTTCTATTGCACTGAAGCAAGTTGGTTCTGTACTGGGGTGTGGCTCAAAAAAACTTTTTTATGCTTATTTTGCCATGATACTTTAGGTTTTTGAAAGATTTTAGGCCCCAGCAGTATTTGCTCCCCTTCTGTCTGTTCAGCAAACGTCTCAAGATTTGGTTGGCTTTAGTGATTTAAAAGCATTCTGTTGTGCGGAGCTCCGATGGAGTGTGGCTGCTCCTGCTCGCAGCCTCCTGCACTCCCACATTCAGCTTGATTTTAAGCTAACTAAAACAAATGAAGTAGGGTAATTGTGACACATCTTGCAATTTGCTGGTTCATGTGCACCAGTATGATGATCTCTTCCTGCTGGTCCAGGGAGCTCTGGAAACCATAAGTTCTTTTTTGCCTTCCCTCCATAAAGATACCACATTTCAAACAGCTGCATTATCTGGAGAGATGTTATTTACCGTTGTTACATGATGTTGCTTAATGTATTGTGAGACTGTTATTAAGTGAAGTCTTAACATGCTTGCCATATTTATAATGTGTCCTGTATTAATTCCTGCTCCAGCACAGATCGGCAGAAAAGTGCTGAAACGAATATTGTGAAATGCAAGTTGAGACCTCCAGTGTTAATGATGCATTCATTTCCCTTGCAGGTCGTTTGTATTCGCTCTACGTGGAACGCACTCTCACCAAAGTTGAGCTGTGACACCCGTCCACTCATTTTAAAAACACTGAACGAATTGTTCGCCCTGGTTCCTTCATTAACAGTGAATACAAATGAGTATGAGGTATGTGTCCCAGGTCTAAAGTGTATTTCTTCTCTTAATGGCAGCTTTAAATGTGTCTGCTCATTTAGGGATGTTCCAAGTCACAATAATTAGCTGTATCTTTACATTTAAATAGCACTTTGTTTTCAAAGGGCTTTAGAAGCATTAGCTAATCCTGTGAGGTAGGTAAGTACATACCTGTTAACCTCCCACCACTGCAGTGCTGGACAGAGGCTCCCTTCCCTCAGAATCCTGGACACGTAGTCAAGGATGTTCTCTTTGTGGTAGAAATAAAGTTTTAGGGCTTTTTTGAAGTAATATTTTCAATTGCTCCCTCCTCCCCCTTTTTCCCAAGGTGACCAATGAATGAATGTGGGGATGGCAGCCATTTCCCTCTGGTAATTGAGTGACACAAGGGGTGGTTTTGTCTTATGGCTGCCACAGATTTAGGAATGAATGAAGCGTAGGGCTTTTGTCTAGATGCATGTGTGCCTCTCTGCTCATCCTGATTTTTGTGACAGGGCGTGGAGAAGAACAGGATAGCCATAGAGATCCACTGAGGATTGAATATGGGGTGTAGTATCAACAGCACTTGGATACAAATGTGATAGGTGCCCTAGAAATACCTCCGATAGATCAGTATGTTGATGATATACAGTTGTGTACCTCTTGCCCTACAAACCTTGTTAGCTCAGTCTACCCCAGAACAGTGCTTTGGTTCTGCCGCTGAGCTGTATCCTCTCCACAGCCCTGGGAAAACAGATGTTTCAGTAGTGGGTGTAGCTTGTCTATAAGAGATGGCTCTCATTTCCTTCGTAGAAGCATAATTCCCAGGCAGGTTGCCAGATTAAGCGTTTTGGCATTTTATTTTCAACCACTCAGCAGTGTATGGAAGGCCACCTGTGCTTTTGTAACTACTCAGCCCTCTTAACAAAGCTTTTATCAGATCTTTTGCTTTGCTTCTATTTCTTTCCAAATGCAGAAGTTCCACCATTATGCCTTATATTTGCAAGTTACTGTCCTGTTGCTGTTGTGACCTCTAGACAATAGAACTCTCATCCCTTTGATATCTGTTTAATTCTTTCTCTTCTGACTTTTCTTTTTCATAGGTGTTGTTTTATTTTAACCGCTGTTAGCCATTTCATAGAGAACCTTTCCACTTTTTCTCCTACTTTGGAGTATCCACTGTGTTTGGCTTTGGTTTTGAGGTTGGAGGGTGCTATTTTTTTTAGGTATACTATTACTTTCATTTTGTTGGATCATGTTTTTTTTTTTTCTTGTATTAACTTTTACATCCCATCAAAACAAGTCTGAGTGCACTTTGAGCCATTTAATAGGCTAATACAGGGTGGGCAAACTACGGCCCTGGGGCCGCATCCGGCCCTTCAGATGTTTTAATCCAGCCCTCAAGCTCCCACAGGGTAGCGGGGTCGGGGGCTTGCCCCGCTCTGCGCAGGCTGTGGCTCCGCACGGCTCCCAGAAGCAGCGGCATGTCCCCGCTCCGGCTCCTACATGTAGGGGCAGCCAGGGGGCTCCGTATGCTGCCCCTGCCCCAAGCATCGCCCCCTCAGCTGAGGCCAATGGGAGCTGTGGGGGCGGCGCCTGAGCTGCCTGGCCGTGCCTCCGCGTAGGAGCAGGACAGGGGACATGCTTGAGGTAAGCGCCACTCGGAGCCTGGACCCTGACCCCCTCCTGTGCTCCAACCCCCTGCTCCAGCCCTGATCCCCCTCTGAACCCGTCAGTCCCAGCCCGGACAACCCTCCTGCACCCCAATCCCTCATACCCAGCCACACCCCAGAGCCTGCACCCCCAGCTGGAGCCCTCACCCCCCACCCCAACCCCCTGCCCCAGCCTGGAGCCCCCTCCTGCACCCTGAACTTATTTCTGGCCTCACCCCAGAGCCTGCACCCCCAGCAGGAGCCCTCACCCTCTCCCGCACCTCAGCCCCCAATTTTGTGAGCATTCATGGCCTGCTATACAATTTCTATACCCAGATGTGGCCCTCAAGCCAAAAAGTTTGCCCACCCTTGGGCTAATAAATCAAAGGATAGGTGTGAAATCCACCCTGAGTATCCTGCAGTGACATTTTTTGCTAAACTATTTTTGGTTGTGCACAGACTCCCTTTTTCTGTTTGCTCTTCCATGTAGACAGACTTTAAAAGATGAGAGCCCCCATCCTGCAAATTTAGGCATTGACTTCACGAGACTACATGCATTCTTAAAGTTAAGCACATACATAAGTGTTTGCAGGACTGGAGCCTTGGTTTGTATTTTTATAGAATAGTTTCTACCACCTAAAGTATTATAAAGATGGAGCTAATCTAAGCTATAGTATCTAGGTATTTTTACTGCCGCCATCTCCATGGTATCTAAGTGCCTCACTGTAAAAAATCCATAATGCTGAATGTACAGTACATTTTCAATTGCTGATAACTTCTGATAACTCCTTGCTCCGGTTTTGTCCATATTACTTAATGAAATAGAAACTGAATAGCTTCATGTGCCTATCTATAACTAAATATTTTTTTAATTTTATAGAAATTTAAAGCTCAAGTTGTCAGCTCACTTTGGAGCCACACTCAGAGCAAGGTAAGTGAGGTGCCAGGAAAATGTTAATTAAGGTGGGCAGTGGGATACGTTAAGGATTCCCCTCGTCCCTCTTTGAAGATATTGGTATCAGTGTCATTTATTGATTGATTGATTGATTGCAATATTTTCTTGCCTGTCAGTGCTTAGTTTTCTCTCTCTCTTTCTCACTGAGCTTGGTGTTTGTGAAGGGAGGTAGACAGACAACTTTGGAGACAAATTTTTTCTGCTTCTCCTCAGAGCCAGGACAGTGCAGTCAAAAGTGGTTGAAGCTTCCTACATTGCCTGCATTTCCCCTATATGTCTTAGCCTTGGCCTGGTTGGGACCACTGTTAGGGTGAGAGGGTTTTCATTAATAATAGACCTCTCTGTTGAGACTACCAACAAGGGTGTCGATTTTGATAGTGGATTTCTCCCCAATTGTGCTTTATTGCGTACAGAAAATAACTGAGTATATGCTTCACAGGAGACTTCATTACATATGACAAAGACATTCATAAAAGAGTTCAGCATTCAACTGTTAGCGGATAAACTCCTTTAGCTTAGGGGATAACCAAATGAGTTCTGTCTCCACCATGCAGCAATAATGCCTTCTATGCTTGTGATATTTTTTCCTAGGATTCCATTGTAGCAATTTCAGCATATAAATCTCTGTCAGAATTTGGTTCTGAAGAACACACCATCCTTCATCTTCCTGAACAGGTAGACATTTTATACTTTAAAGAGTGAGAGTATGTGCCACTTCCTTAGAAATGAAATGGAAAAGGAAAGAGCAAAACCACATGAAAGGAGGGGAATACTTGCTCGCTAGCCCAGATGAACTAACAAACAGCAGAATCAGAAGCAAAATGACCCACCTTAGGGATGTAGTTGGTTGTCTCTCCTCAGTAAAAGGGACAGTTACCAGAGAGTGCTGGGATAAGCTCCTGAGAGAGGGAGAATGCTAACTGAACAGTTCAGTGATGCCTTTGTGATCAGAGAGAAGGCAACTTTTATTACTTCATTAATTAGTAAGTGGGGCTTCACAGGTGAGAGAGGGTCCTTGATTTGTATCTTTTGTTATTCTGAGAGTGTTTGGGACCAGGCTTTGAATTATAGGGAAGTAGTTAGAGACACAGACTCTGTTGAAAGTTGTATCTCAAAGTAATAATCCCTGAACTCATGCTTAATACCTCAGTTTATGAGACAAACTTGCCCATTTAGGTAGTAGGTGTTTGTTTTGAATCAAGATAAAATCTTGTCTTCCTGTGTTCCATATACTTTTAAGGTACTTTTCCTCCTTTTGGGGGGAGGCAGGTGGAAAGAAAATTATGTTGTTTGTTTCATGGCTTTATGTGTATGTAAAGGACTGTTTCCTCTTATATTTTACCATGCAAAATTCCTGACTCAATACATGTACACACTCTAAGAGTACATGGAGACTCTCATGTAAGGTAATCTATATGAGAGTGTAGGCAGTAATGGGTAATCACTGCTACTTTATGGTTCTGGTAAATACTTCTGTATGTTTCGATTTCCTACAATATTACATAATTGGCTCCATATGGTGCTATGGCTGTATATCATGAAAATGTAATAAACAGATTTTTTAAGAGAGACCATACTTTATGGAAACTTGTGAAGAAATGTCCAGTGAATACCTGATGAAGAGCTCTGTGTAAGCTCGAAAGCTTGTCTCTCTCTCACAAGCAGAAGTTTGTCCAATAAGAGATATTACCTCACCCACCTTGTCTCAGGGGTAGTCTACACTACTGCACTACGTCGGCGCAGCTCCCCGGTGTGAATGTGAAGACATGCTATACCGATGGGAGAGCACTCTTCTATTGGCATAATTACTCCACCTCATTGAGAGGCAGGAGCCTTGTCGTCAGGAGAGCGTCTCCTGCAGACATAGCGTGGTCTGGACACTGCTTTAAGTTAATGTAATTTGTCACTCAGGGGGGTGTCGTTTTCACACCCTTTAGCAACGTAACTTACATCAACTTAAGCGGTAGTGTAGACAAGCCTTTAGTGAAAACCTACAAATGAAAAGGGAAGGCATTTTGTCACAAGAGAAGAAGATACAAATTAAGGACAAATCTCTAAATGCTAGTGCAATAATAAATAAATCTCTGTGTGCTGGCACATAGGCAATATCCTGGTAATTGAACCTGGTATAATGTCCCATCAGAAAATGTAGAAGATGAGTAGGTTTGTTTATTTAAAGGCTTAATCAGTTAGAAACATGTTGCAGATTTTAGTCTAATGAAAACAGAAAAAACACTTCTGTTCCTATTAGAAATGTGCTTTATAGGTTGAATATCAATACAAACATAAACTATTTTCTTTTCCTGAATTGTTACAGAAGGGTCAGACTAAGTCAAATCCAAGGCCCAGTAGTACTACAAGTACCGCCATTCAGTCCACAAATGCCTTGATTATTTTTACCACTAATGATATATTGGAATTTATATGGCTCACTGCTTTTATAAGCCTATTGTGATCTACATACACTCTTCAGCCTGGTAGAAGAAAGACGTTCAGTTGATCAGTTTCAAGACTTAAATTCATTAAACTGGAGGGCGTTCCTTACTGAAATAATGATCCTTATCTTTGTCACACTGGACCTTGAAACTAAACATGGATTAAGAGACAATGTTTATTTCTATTTTTATTTTTTTGTTTTGTTTTATTGCTGCCTTTGTCATCCTTCAGGCAAGACCAGAAGTTGGTCCATCAGAAGAGATGGACATAAATGAAGAGGAGGAGAAGGAGGTGGACCTTTCTGTTCCTGGCTCTTCATATATCAAACTGTTGTCTCTAACTCTTCCTTCTGTTTTGCCAGGTAGAGCACTTTCATAAGTGGAAGCTTCTATACAGCTTTAGAATCTGACTGACTCCACATGGGTATAGAGTTCTACCTATATGAAGAGACATATGGGATTGAGACCTTATTTTATCTTCCATAAAAATTATATCCTAAAACACTTCACCAATTTGAAGAATAGTGACATTAAGAGCTCCTGGCAGTGAATAAAGATGTTTTCAAGGATGTTACTTAAGAATTCTTCTTATAAATGCTATTCATTTTTTCTCTTTTCTGTAGTTATATAATTGGTTACAAGTTACTATATTTCAAATACTTGTTCGCTGATTATGATATAGGCCTAACATAGAGAACTGAAGGACAACATTTTAAGGCAATTCTGAATTTTGAATGAAAGTAAAACAGCAGGAAATACGAAGTTACAGGATTTATAAATGTATTTGCTTCATGTAAGTTATACTCTTTGCTATTTTTTCCAGGTAATGTATTTGTGAAGAGGGCGCATAGTACTCTGAATAACTTAAAATCAAATCATTAAGTAAACAATATTAAGACATTATGCAGTATAAAACATAGTTAATTAATAAAGGTGTGAATATGAAAAATAAGAGTAACGAAAAGCATTAGTGAGACTTAAATAGGTATAACGCAGGGGTGCTCAAACTGGGGGTCGGGAGCCCTCGGGGGGTTGTGAGGTTATTACATGGGGGGTTGCGAGCTGTCAGCCTCCACCCCAAGCCCCACTTTGCCTCCAGCATTTATAATGGTGTTAAGTATATAAAAAAGTGTTTTTAATTTATAAGGGGGGTCACACTCAGAGACTTGCTGTGTGAAAGGGGTCACCAGTACAAAAGTTTGAGAATCACTGGCATAAAGAGATATTCCCATGGCTGACAGGTTCATTTTGATACCTGAACAACTGATTCGTCTTAAAGATAACATTTATTTTTAAAATGTTCACTTAATTATAGTTTTAATGCTAACTATCCACTAAAGTCAGCAGTGCAACAGTTGCAGGACTGTAAGCTCCTCAGGACAGGAACTATCCCTTTTTATGTATTTGTACAGTTTCTAGCACAGTATATGAATGTGGTCCCTAGATGCTACCATAGTATAAATAATAATACATCTCTATGTAATATTTCTTTTATGGGAACTTCTCCCACTTGCATCTGGGGAAGGAGACCATCTTCTGGTCCTCAGGTCCTTTCATTAGGAAGCTTGGATTGACTGGGACCTGTGTGGACTCTCAAGGAGGTATCAGACTGGAGGATATATGCTGCTTCCATGTGGGGAAGCACTTTCCATACTCTGAATGTAAGGCAATAGTCCGCTTAGGAAACTTTACAGGGAAGCCCCAAGTAAGCCATTTAAACTAATGAGAGCAGTGCTTGCTGTCAAAGACACAAAGCTGGGCAAGTGCACCCAGAGTGACATTGTTTAGCTTAACAGGAGGCTAGGAAAACTGTAAATAAAAATTTGTAGAAAAGGGCTCTTTGTAGAATAATCAGGGCTATTGACATGGATGAACAACTCTAGTGATGGAGTAAGATATTGAGTGCCCAAGGCAATAATAGAGATCTCTCAGAGACCACTAAATCTTGTGTACAGGTGAGGCTGTGGAACGTGGTCTAATTGAACAGCTGTTAGATGTTACCAAGATCATTCACAGTTTCCTTGCTGCTGGCTAAGATGGCAACCCATGGGAAGGTATAGGCCAGCAGTCCCTATTTTCCCTGATGTCCTTGCTAATGGGTACCATGTTGACTGGAGCTTCCAGAGGATGGCTGAGACATCTGTTCTCCTTGGGCTTCTCTGGATGATTCCCTTAACTCAGAACTTCCTCTTCTCACCTTCCCCTCCCCGCTCTTCGTGGGGGAAATTATTTCCTAGCCTCCATATGCCACTTCTGGAAGAGATGAATTCTTATTTCTATGGTCACTGGAGCTAAAATCCAGAGTTCTAATCAAAAGCCAGTTTTTCTCCTGGAATTCATGTTGAATGTGGGATTGTCTTTCCATGAGCCTTCCTCTGCTCTGGAGGGCAAAACTGTCTTCGCTCACAAACAAATCCATCGGGGTTACCTCAGTTAAACAGCTGAAAGGAAAAATACTAATAAACCCGTAGACTTTCTGCAACAGAAGCATACCACACTTACTATTTACTCTCTTAGCATCTACATTTGTGTGAGCCAAAGGAAACAGAAATTGGGAAAACTTCTCTTCTCTGAGCTCCTTAGGAGCCCAGCCACACTGTCAATTTCAGCTGCTAAGCTGTATTATCTCTGTACTCCTATTGCAGACAGAAAGAGAGCCAGCAATGGGAGTAGAGAGATAATACAGTCTGCACACACAAAGCATCCATGTTTTCAGTAAACCAATTTAATCCTTGATTGTTGTTTGGTGGGCGTCATATGCAGTACCTTTTTTAAAAAAAAAAAGTTCATCCCATACAACACAATGTGATGTAGGTACATTTTAAAGGACACCAATTGAATCCATTTTTTTCTTATTCAATGGTAGATGTATATACAGAAGATAAGTCAGTATTTTGGTTCATAATACATTCAGTAGTCATTGCCTGTTTTTCTTCAGATTTGTACCAGCCCTTAAAGTATGATTCATTATCATTTGCTTCAGAATCAGGTGCTCTTTCATGAAGTTTAGCTAGGTTTCCCAGTTTGGTTTATGCCTGGCATTCTGGATCATTAGGTTGCATTTATTTGCCATTGTGATTAGAAATAGCAAACTCATTGATAGGCATTTTGAAAGCAACAAGTTCTTTGTTATAACCAGTTTAAAAAAAACCACTTGGATTTAAAGAAATCTATGGGGGGACATTGTAATAATGATTAGACTATGTAGCCATGGACAGACACCCAGTTGCCTAGGTACATATTTATCTGTAAAAAAAAAGGCTCTCTTTTATGACATTTTGCAGTCTTTTTCTCATGTTTGTGCTGTTAATGAAATAAATAAGAAATGGAAAAGAAGGAAATGCTGCTAAAATAATGGGTACTGACTGAAAATGACCAAAGTAAGGAAGTTCCAGGATAAGATGTGTCTTTCCATTAACTTCCAAGGTACCTCAGGTATTGCCAGGATCTCAGAAGAGTAGGTAAATGCTCTTTCAACCCATATGTGCTCCAATTCTTAGGAAACCAGCATTGCATCTGGTTTGGGAACTTATAAGCCAGAGTTTCAAGAGTAATGTGAAACAGTTATTATAAATCCTTTAAAACTTGGTCATATAATGAAAGCACTAACAGACTCTTAAATCTATCAGCATTGCCAGGTGCTGGTCTAGTGTTGGCTTCATGTTGGGATGCAGTAACACTGCACACATCAACCATAAGGGCTACTTTAATCTAACTTCATAACCAAGCAATAGCATTACTTTACTTCTTTACACTGTTGAACCCAGATAAAATATAAAAAGCCCAAGTATGAGAGCATACCATCATATAAACAGTACCTACAACTGTGTTCAGAGAAATTATAGTACCAGTTGTTTATTTTTTTATGGTGAAAAAGCCTATAAGAAAAAAACTCATTTGCAAGGAACATTTTATTTACATTGACAAATGTAAATGTCAGTTTAGTTTCTGACTGTCCCAGTTTGTGACTGTGTCATTGGCGTAACAAACAAAGAACACATTGATCAACAGCACTGAGAACGGTTCAGGCTATTTTTCTTCTGAGTTTGAGCATCTGACATCACTTATTCAGAGCTTCCTGAGCTGCAGTTTGAGTGGAGGTGAACATAGAGTCAGGAAGACTTGCCAGGAGTTCTAAATCCCTGACCTTGGAGCTTTCAGCTGAACGTGTAGTTGCTAGTTTAGTTAAGCATAACTGCCCTGAAGCTGTGGTTTTGGGTTTGTTGGAATTTTTTGGCCTCTCTTCAGCCCCTGACCTTTTTCTTCCACCCACTTCCTCCAGCATTTGAAGAGTTTGTGGCGTCACTTGTGAAACAGGAGATGGCCAACATGCCCCGCGGAGTGTATCATTCTGCCCTGAGAGGAGGGGCCACGCGCTCGGATCAAGGAAAGACCGTAGCAGGAGTTCCCAACTTCATGCTGAAAATGTATGAGAGGAACAAGCAGCCAGGCCTGAAGCCTGGCCTTGCAGGTGAGCTTCTTCTGTCATTGGTCACATCACTCCCTTGACTAATGTTTCAAAATGTATGGTAGTTTTCTCTGAATGTGGTGTTGGCCTTGATTCAGAAAAGCTTGTCAGGACATTCTTAAGTCAAAACTTTTTCAGGACAGCATTTTAGCACATGATTAAAGTTGACCATGTGCTTACATATTGTCCTGAATAGCGATGTTTTCCTGAATGAAGATCCTAGAGTGCATCAGTTTAAGCAACAATCATGTACTCTATAACACTGATGTTCCCTTTGCCCTTCTCCCTGCCTCTTCCTCAATGTCTGAACTCATCTTCTAAGTGATGAGTCTTAATACCCAGCAGCACTGGAAGCATGAATCATTAAGTGACTCCAGAATGATCTTCCCCACTGGTCAGTGTCACTCTCATTTTAAAATGTAACTTTAGAAACATTATATGCTCTTTCTTAAAATTTGCATTCAGCTGTTGTGCATGAAACTTTTTTTGCGCTATTTAGCAGTATTTTATGTTGATGCATTTATATGGGTTTTTTTTTAAGCTGGCATGTTGTTATGTTATGACCTTCCAATCCACATGGGCAAAGATGGCAAACCTATCAGTCGTTTTCTGGCTAGCAGAGGGCGCAATTTCCAACAGATGTTAATAGCTCTCATTCATGAGGTAAGCATTCTCGGCTTTTCTTCCCTTTTCAGAAATGTTGTGCTGCTTTCTCCTCCCTGCTCCCCACAGAGTCACATTTGCTTATTTTAATTAGGAAATACTAGCTACAAGCTATGTGATGTTTTAATGCACCATAATTAACTAAAGTTGCTGTAAGGGACAATTAACGTGAATAGAACGTGTAAATACATTTAATAAAATGCTCTCTTTGCTGAAATGCTCCCTCTGAAAATCGTTGGCGTAAATTGAAACTGACATTCTCCTTTTGCCCCTCCTCCTCTCAGCAGTGGTGCCTAATCAGGCTATAGTGCCCTAGTATTTTGGTGTGTCTGAACAACAATTATGGGATTCCACCATAGGGAGTGACGGCCGCCTCCTCGTTAGGGTAGTAATAACACAGCATATCTTTTAATTGTTTCCAAGTCCCTGGAATATTATGCTGATGTGGCTGATCCTATGCAGTGAACTTTGGTAAACTGGAGCTGTAACGTCTAAATTTGTGTGGTTTTGGAAAAGGTACAAGAAATGAACATCCAGTTAATCATTACAGAAAATAAGAAAGAGCTTGTTATCAAATCTTACAGGGAGTTTAGAATTATGGCATTACAGTTGATACGAAAACTGATCTTTGGAAACTGCAGAGACTGGGGAAACAAATAAGTAGCTAGACAGGAGCTTGGGAAATGAATGTTGGTTTCCGATTTTTCATATCAGTTTGAGCATTTACTAGCACAAGTAGACGTGTTAGAGTCTCTTTCAGAGTTCATAAAAGAAAGAAGAGTTAATATGATCAATTTTCATTACTGAGGAGACTTCTTATGTGCATCTTAGGGTGAAGATTCTCTTCACAGATCATAAATGAGAATGTCAGAATTATACAAGTCTATTCTGTCATGTGTTAGACAAGCAGGAGAGCATACATAATTATAAAAATTTCTTTTGTAAAAAATCTAAGTCTGGGCCCAGAGTAGCTCCTCTAGAAATGATAACAACATAGTGATAGATGTACATTTTAAAAGTGCCTTCAGAACAATGCCAAAAACTATTTCTTTATTCATGCAACAACAAAATAAATGTTCAGAACACAGAACTGCCATGCTTGTTCCCTCTGTCCCTTGTACTGGCAGTAGCCATTTTTCCTCATAAAAAATAACTGGAAGTTATAATTATAGATGTAGTTGGTAGTGCCACCTATAGTTAAGGTTGATCAACACGCTCTGTTATAAGAACTTGTTTTCAGTTGTTTATAACTTTGCCAAATTTCATCTCTTTGGGCTGAAATTTCCATGCCAGGGGTCTGTGTCAGGCTGATTTTTTTAAAGTTTCAGATCAAATTGTTTCTAAAGAATGAGATTAGGAATTAGGGAAAAAAATTGCTCATATTTTCAAGAATGCTTAAACTCGTTTGTTGAGCAGTTCTAGCTCCTCCATGTTTGGAGGCAGGACTTGCAATTTGCCCGGGGGTGTTGTCAATTTTGTCAGGGATGTGCCATAAAAAATTGACAGTTTTAAGGCTCCAAAGAATCTCAGTTCACACATGATTCATAGAAACCTGCTAGTTGGCAGCTAATTACTCCACCTGCACTGAGCATGCCCCAGCCCGAGTTGCAGGGGCAGAACAATATTTTGCCTGCAATTTCTCCTCTTGGCAGCCAGAGCTGGCTGTGGCATCAGGCATAGGACCTGAGAGTAAGGCGTCTGTCTCCATTGCCCTCAGTGTTCCCCCTTCTGGTCACAGGCAGTGTAGAGGAGGAGGAAGCCTGACTGAAATGCAGAGGGTTGGGGAGTTTTGTGGGAGGGTAGAGATTGGGTCAAAGTCTGTGCAGAATAGATTGGGATCTGAGGGGGCAGGGAGGAATAGTAGGACTGGGAGCCAGGGGTGTAGAAGCTGGTATCAGGAGCCAGTGAAGGTAGTGAGTGAAGATAGATTGGACGAAGAACTGTTTATGTAGGCATGGGGAGATTGGGACTGGGTGGGCAAGATGACCAGGCTGAGAAGCCTGGGGGTGAGGAGAGGGAAGGGGGTCCAAGGTAGGGAGACCGAGAGTTGGAATGGGAGTCAAGTTGGGGGAAAACAGCGATTCTGACAAGGAGCCCAGAGGGAGAGATTGGGACTGGGATGAGGAACCCAGGGCACACTTGGAGATTGGGGCTGGGAAGAGGATCTGGGAGACAAATCTGGGACAAGTATGGCCAGAAGGGATCAAGCTTGGCGAGAAAAGGGGCAGAAGGCTCTGTGCCCACTTGAGAACACTCCAGAACCTGGAATTAAACCCAAGATTTCTGAGTGTCTGTATTCCTTTGCTGTCAGCAAATATCTGTGAAATCCACTGATAAAATTACTTTCAGCATACTTTAGTGGCTGGTTCACATAGATGACGACCTACAGCTGCTATCAGTTACTTCAGGGTTGCCCAACCTACGGCCCACGGGCAATACGCGACCCAGCAGAGCATTTCGTAAGGCCCGCGGCCTGCTTCAACACAGTATACTAATGGCTGATTCATTCGCGTTTTGTTGTCATGTTTACATCATTTTAGTTTACACAAATGTGTAAATAAAGAATAGTGTACATAGAAACAACATGTCTAAATACATACAAAACAAGCTGAACTTAAAATATAAATCAATAGTGGTGACTTTAAATCTTATTAAAATAAGTAGAATGCGTTTGGCCCATACCAGGTTGTGCTTAGGTTTATGTGGCCCTCCTGTGTAATAAGGTTGGTCACCACTGAGTTACTCCATTAGCTCAAGTTTCAGACGTCTGTTCAGTGGATCTAACTGTTCCAACCCTGATGATGACCTATGTGGGTGTCAGTGTGATGTCACATGATAGATTTTGTTTTTTTTTCCAGTTTGTTTTATTAAAAAACCTTATGAAATCATCCATAAAAAGTACTTTAAAAAAACATAAGGTTGAAAAATCAAGCACTCAAAAGTTAGGAAATGCCTAATTAAGGTTCTTCTTTGAGTGCTGTCCCTGTGGGTTCTCCACTTCAGGTGTTGGTGCGTCCCGCCATTGCTGATCGGAGATTTATGGTAGCAGTGACCGCGCGGGTCGCCTCGCAGTGCCACATGTAGCACACGCACGACCCAAGCCCTCCAGTTCCTTCTCAACTGTCCTTGGCGGAAGACAGAGCTCTGGGGCAATGTTAGCACTCTTCCCTAAAACAGTTAGAAAAATAGTTTAATTAGATAGTTAGGTAGAAAGTTATAGTTAGTGTGACTTTATTGAAAAAAAAAAAAAGTTTTATTTCATTAGCTACTTCCCCTCAGGGGACGGTTACCCGTTAAGATGCCTAGTTCTCCAGGCTTCAAACCCTGCGGCTCCTGCCGCGAAGCTATGCCTGTTTCAGATGGGCACTCATTGTGTGTATGCTGTCTGGGTGAGGGGCATATCTCCCAGAAATGCCCCCACTGCAGCAATTTGAAAGCCAGAGCCTGATGCGACAGAGATCTATGGCTAAAAATGACTTAATTGAGAAATCCCTGTATCTGACACTGGTTGAGCAGACTACCTCTCTAGGCACTCCTCCAAATGGGAAAGGAGACGGACTTTCTGAAAGACCAAAAAAGACTCTTCTCCTCAGAGAGCACCGCGAAAACAAAGATGGTCTCCTGCCAGATCTCTACCCGTGACGCCGACATATACTCAGGTGAGCATCTATGACACTCCGAGCACTTCCGGCACTGCTGAGGTCTGAGCGAAGGAGACTGAGTCGAGGCACAGACAAAGATATGCCTCCTCCACGGCATTGAGTTCACTGGAATGGGACTCAGCACCGAGCGTCTCCTCAGGTGCCATGCCTCCGCTCCCAGCACTGACAGCGCAGTCGGCATGGGTGGACAAAAACAAGTCGGCACCAGCCGCACCAACTAAACAGTCACAGTGTCGGTCAGCACCGATGCCGACACTGGCGAGAGCTGACCCTGCAGCACCCGACGGCCCGGACATTGGCACCGACACAGTCTCTGCTACGCCAGAAAGGTTTGATGATATCGTTGACACCGCACTCCCTGATATTTGGGACCACGGGCTCTCCAACAGGCTACGGAGGAGATCCCAACAGCTCTCATAACATTTCACAATCTTCCAGCAAAGACAAGAAGGACATGCCGGAGCAAAACACCTTCTCACCACACCACTCCTCACCGAAAGCACACCGTGAAACCATATGGGACCAAGATACCACCAGACGACTCAACCATGGTGTGGATCACCGTGAATTTACCCCCCCATGGCCTTCCCCATGCCATGCAGTGGCCTAGCCAGGTGGAGGGAAGAGGGGGAATGGGGAAAAAAAAGGCGCCACCCGCTGCGGCGCTTTTACTGACAGGGCAGCGCTCCCGGGTCTTCAGCGGCACCTCGGCGGCGGGACCTTCACTCGCTCCGCGGGTCTTCGGTGGCATTTCGGCGATGAAGCTTCAGTGCCGCCGAAGACACCCGGATGAGTAAAATTAAAAAGGTGCCACTTGTGCTCGGTGGGGGAGCGGCCGCTCCCCCCCAGCTATGCTACTGATGCCATGGGCACATTGGGAACCCTGGGCATCTTACAGGGGTCCACATTCCAGGCCTTCCACAGCGCACAGACGCAAACTGCGCTCTAACCCTGTGTCTCCCACACCGCAGCCCATGGAGGCTCAGGATGTAGGAGAGGACACAGAAACTGGCACAGACCAAGAAACTACATCTCCTGCTCACAATTCTTCTTCCTCCCTAGATGAGGCTATTATGCCCCCCTCCCACCAGCTTCGGCGGATGATTTCAAGTAGTTTCAGGACTGTTTAAGCAGGTCGCTCACAGCCAGGACATCCTGCTAGAGGAGGTGCAGACAAACCAACACAAGCTGGTACAAATACTACAACCATCATCTACCTCCAAAATCGCTCTTCCCTTCAACAATGCCATCTTAGATCCAGCGGAGACCGTTTGGCAGACACCAGCCTCAATTCCGCCAACGTGCAAAAGAGCGGATAGAAAGTACTATGTACCCTCA